AGGAAGGAAGGAAGGAAGGAAGGAAGGAAGGAAAAAGAAAGAAAGAAAGAAAGAAAGAAAGAAAGAAAGAAAGAAAGAAAGAAAGAAAGAAAGAAAGGAAGGAAGGAAGGAAGGAAGGATTATATATATGTATATGTATATATAATACACACACACTGCAGTCAATAAATAAGTTGTTTAAATTTTAAAAATATGACAGAGATAGACATATTTTCATAAATCCTCCTCAAAGTGCTCTGCCTCACTTCAAACACACTTAAGAAATTGGTAAACTTTGTTTTCAGAATATTGCACTATAAGCATGCTATAACTTCTATTTTAAAAAGTTTAAGCCTCAAAAGTATTTTTAAAAATCACACACATGAACCACCAGACCCCACTTCTAACCTGAGCTTCACTAGCTCTTTTATTACTGATTAACCAATTTGTTTCAGATTCCATAACTACAAAGCCATAGCAAAATTAATAGTCTCAATTCTTTATCATCAGTTGAATTAAATAAAATGAATAAGGAAGTATTCGATGTAATCTTAAATTTTATTGGAATTGTGATCCAAATTGTTAACTACTATCTGAAGTAATACATAATTGGAGAAAAATATTTTATGCATTCTGGTTTTTATTTTAGCTTTGTTATTCTTGAGTACTACCCAAATACTCATACCACAAATGCCTTTCAAATATTTCTATTTAGTTTTAAAATAACAAGGATGGTTTACTTGACTAGTTTACATTTTATGTTGACCACATAGTAAACAGGTAACATCTTGCACAAGCAAAACGTACTTATTTCTAGAATTATAAACCTTTTCTTTGTAAACAGAAATCACATTCTGAAACCAATAAATTATACTGCAAAGTAGCAAAATTGAGTTAAAATATGAGTTAAAAACAAACATAAAGCAGAAGTATTCCACACTTTTAATCTGACTTTTTAAAACTTCCTTATCCTCTGTGTTGATATGGAATATTTGGCATAACTGCTTACAGAAGAAAACCTGGAACAATGGCTGACCAAGTATTTCTTTTCATTTATACCACAATGAAGACAGATTTTATATAGTTTGCTGGGAGTGGCCAATTATGAAGTGTTTGACATTTTTTTTCAAAACATTTCTTTATTCTTAAAAATAAAAACAAATACATTTTCAGAATGATCCAAGATCTACAGATGCCTTTTCAGCCTTCCGTAATTGGGCATTTGCTACTTCTCATATCAGTCAAGGAAGCATTAGTAACTGAGTCATAAAAATGCATGAGAGATTCTACCTAGTTTTTACTCTACTTTCAGTTCTTCCCACTATCCCATAGTTTTACAATTAGATAATCTTCATCTTGACACAAATATATTTGAAAATAAGCACTATAAAATAATTTCAAATGTTAGTGGCTCTCAGGGCTTTTACTACATGTAAGACTTGGAGGGCCCCTTCCCTTTCCCCTTCCCCTTCCCCTTCCCCTT